CCAAAAAAAAAAAAAAAAAAAAAAATTTCAATGTTAGGCCTTTATTATAGGGAATGACTAATCACTTCCAACATCTGTTGAACACTCCTCGCTAAATACCAGCCACAGAAGAGCTTGCCAGTTTCCTCTACAAGTTATTTTAATGCTGTGATTCACCTTGATCGGTTTTCGCCATCTCTACCAACCACTCGCGGTATTTTTCATCGATTTCCTTAACTCGTGGGTGTTTTGACGCTTCAGTACAGATGGAGCGTTATACAATCCTGAGAACCTGGGCTGGAGGCAAAGCCAACTCTAAAATTAATGAACTTTCACAGGGACAATTTTTTATTTCTTACTGGTTTTGAAACCTACGTTGTGCAGAATCATCAAAAACCAGGAATCTCCAGGCACCTCTCTTAACACAATCTTCCGGAACAACGATAAAGGTAACAGGCAGGATGCACCAATGTCAGGTTAAAAACAGGTTTGCGTCTCTAACACCGTGTATGAACCTTTGGTATGTCTGATTCTAAAGCCAGTGCTGAAAGTAACAGCTTCAACTGGAAAACACTTTTTTATTTCAGTCTCCAAGACACAGCTGCTGCTCTCCAGCACTGGCAGCGGCCTCGGGAGGCTCCGCTGTTTTCCACCACTCACCAAGAGCTGGCAGGTTCCCATTTCCCAGCCACAGCAAAGGGAAAGGCATCTTAACCGGGTTTCTTTGTCAGATCTGAAATCAGCTCGTTGGAGATTCATCCCACTTCGCAAAAGGAGCAAAATGAGTGTGGAAGCAAACATTTCCATTAAAACATATGGTAGCAATGGAAGGCTCAACTGAGCAATAACAGCAAAGGTTTCTGCTCTGTGCTCACAGGAACTGAGCTTCCCGAGTAGAAAAAAAGAGTAACATCTACATTTGAGATGGGAGTTCCCACGGGCCCTGACTAGCCTGCAGAAATTCCTCCCCCTCAAAGCTTACAAATGGGGCATGTGTCCAACATCTCATCCAAGATGTTATAGGTTTATCAATTAAAGAAGAATTTCCCTAAGCCCTGCCTTCCCCCCCCAAAAAGCACCATATGTACTTGTTCCTCGCAGCCGAGAGAAGAGCTGTGTGAGCAGCACCGCCTGTTCTCCTCGACATCTCCCAGCAGACAGGTCACAGCTGGTCTCTTCTCCTCTGGGGCCATTTGGAGGGTCTGTCCCAGGCTGCAGGAATCACCCTTTGCCCAAGTGGGTTTTTAGGAGAGCAGTGGCATGGGGTGAGGAAGGGAAGACACGCACATTTAAATTGTTTTTCTTGGCTCTGTTCGTAACAGATGCTCTCATACAAATTTTAAAACCCATTCTGTACAAAAGGAATCATCTGCTTTAACAGCTGAACAGGGAATCCAGCTGTGCTCTTAAACCCAACTTGCCAAATACGGAATTTTACAGAGGGCCACATCAAGGTAACATCTTAGCCTTACGGAGAGCACAGCGTTTTAAGTTAAACATAAAAATACCATAGGTAAGTTATAAAATAAAGCTTGTAGCCATTTGCTTTATTTAATAATCCAAACAGCAACTTGAAACCGGGGTTAAGGAACGGGCAGGGTATGACAGTCTCCTTCCAGGAAAAGCTGCCGGGGACATCTCTACAATACCAGTTGGAGTGTTTTTCCTGCAGGCTCAGTTTCACACTCCTGTTGCTGTCCAAGATACTGGCTATGAACTGCTGTGCATGCTGAGACCTCACTGAGAAAGCGTAAAGTCCAGGTTTGTCCCAGCTCCAAGCAAGGCCAGCCTGAGTATTTATACCAAAGGGCTGGACTAGAGGCTGAAGAACCTGGGGCCACTCAGAGCGAGGGCCAGAGAAGACAGGGCTGCTGAGGCACGGAGTGCTCTGCAGCAGGAGGATGTTTCTGGAGTCAAGTTTCTCTTGAAAAGAACAGTATTGTTGGAAGCACTTCCACAGAGGAGACGTGACTCCTGCTGTACGTCACGCTGTACAGTGCCGAGCACAATGGGGGCCTTTCTCTTGTTTATGGTCTTTATCAAAATCCAACAAATAAGGTGTGGATTAGTCCTTTGGGGAAATCAGGAGATGAAAGATCACTGGTGCTTGTTAGCTCACAGCCAGCAGAATACTACCTCCAGGGGCTACGTGTCAGTATAAAAGAAAGGTTATTTAGGTGACTCAGACTTCAGTACTCAAAGGAATCTCTACCCCTCACAAATTTCAGTCAGTCCTGTATCACCCCCGGAATGCCTGGCTAATTAGAGCAACTTTGAGACACACATCCGATGCCGATGGCTATTTTGGGATCTCAAATTAGCTCCTGCAGACTCTAGGCTAAAATCTGAACGTAGTAATGCTGTGAGAGGGAGGAAGACGTTTGATGCGGGGCAATGTTTTCAAAATACTTTAGGCATATACAGTTATTTTCAATATAATAAGATTTACATTCCTCCATAACATTAAAATCTTTCACATAAACATGCAACAAATGCAATGCACAAGCAAGCTGTATTACTCCAAAGGCAGTGTCACAAGATCCACTTCTACTGGTAAAAAACTGCATCATAATAGATGATCTCTATCAAATCTTTTCCACTTGATATAAAAGATGTGCCTATTAAGAAAGAACACGGAAAGATTGGTACAACACCATATAAATTGATGTTCCAATTACATTGTAAATGAAGATGCATTCGATAAACAGGCCACAAATCCAGACACGTTATGATTTCCCCTAGCAGAAAACTACGGATCCAATTTTCAAGTTAAAGTCAAAGAATTGAGGGTAATCTCACTCTGCTGCAGCATTTCTTGTTCCTAATACTCCTAAGATAAGAGAAGCTCGTTTGGTAGCTTTACAATTCCATATAAAATAAGACACATGTCCTTCGATGTCCTATGCCCAAGGCTTTTCACAGTTATCGTTTGAAGCCATTAGACTTCTTCAGCATTCCAAGAGTTTATTTCTTTGTTCTTCTACTTATGGAGCTCAGACTTGCAGTGATCTCGAGATTTGAGAGAAAGTGATTAGCTGTCCCCGAAGGAAACGCTTACGGCTGCTGCCTTCGGGCCTGGGGGGAGATGTGTCCTTGCTGTGTAAGCAGGTCACTCCACTGATGCGTGATGATCTCCCCAATCAAGGTACGACTCGGTTTGCAAGCACTTGCGTGCATTTTATTTTTTTTTTAAAGGTATTTCTTGGAAAATAAGCAAGTCGGTGGGGCCAAAGCAGCCGCCAGAGGGAGCCCCTCCACTGTGGGTGCTGACCAGCACCCAAAGGTGCTGGGGGGCTGTCACCCCTCCGGAGGGCTCCAAGCTGAACGTGTCCCAGCCAGGCGGGCAGGACCACTGCCTCAGCCACCTCTGGCAACAGCAGAGAAAAAAAAAAAAGCCATAAAAAAGGAGCAGAGAGATGACATTTCAGAGCACACGGATGGGGGCGTGGAAGGGGTAGAACCAGCAAGGTTTAGCTGGGCAGCATCTGCTTTAAAATCTGCACTTTGCCGTTTTAATGCATTATTGACTCGTATAGGAATTCTTGAGCCGTGCCTTGGGCTGCTCGGTTTTTAGAGCACGGTGTAACCACCACCTTAACACTGCCCTGCTGCTGAGAGCGAGGCCCTGCACCTCAGCTGGGAACCAGCTCCCAGAGACGCATCTCACCACATTTCCTTCTCTCCTCAAATCCACTTAAACCTCCTTCTCCGCGGGATGTCGGTGGGAGAGCTCTAGGCAGGTACATACCGAAACCTCCTCCACACCACGACCTCTGCAAGAGTGTCAGTCATGTAACTGGCCTTTCGCAAGAGTCATTTATTTGTGGGTATATAAAGAATGGTTTCAATTTAGCAGCTCAGATGGTGCCGCCCCCCACCTCCCACACGGAACACGGTAGCAGCTTGCAACGGGATGCAAAAATAAACAAACTTACCCACTTCGTGTTGCCCCTGCTCATCTTCGCCCAAGTGATTCATAGCGATGTACTCTTGACTCCTGCAAATTGAAGACATTTGTGAGTCTCCTTAACGTAAGCACAAATCAAAAGAAAAAAAAAAAAAAAAATTCCTGCACACAGGAAGGAAAACATGCAACTTAAGCTGAGCTTTGAACATTTCACAGTAAATATCAATACTGGGGTCTAAAAAGGGCCATCATTTTACATTTTTAAATAACTGAGCAGAATTTTTTTTTTTTTTTTTGGCAGTAGCAGGACTATCTATATTCGTTGTCATTTTACATCTTTTGATATTTAAGCTTGCCGATTCCTTTTTGCCCACATTACATTACAGTGCATTTTCAAAGGGCACATTATTAAAGTTATTGCTAATTTATGCAGAAGCATGTGGTTTTTTTTTAAATGTTTATTTTAAACATTTTTTTTTTTGCAAATTTTTACATTAAAATTAACATCTGAAGAATTGTTTCAATAAAGTTTATGCAAGTTGCCGTCACAGTTTATGTAAAAGAGAAATGTGCTATTAAAATCAGACATTTAGGTTACCTTTTGGGTTTTGCGATGCATGTTAGCTTTACACATCCTGATTCTCCTGCGATAATTTTCCTTTAAAAGGGGGGTATAGGGTGATCTTTTCATCAAGCAAGACATTATGCCCTGAAAGCTGACTCCAAACCATTGTTGAAAATTCAGTTATTTACACTTTAATAACAATCTACAAATACAACTTTTTGTTTTAAAGTACTCCCCTCAATCATGCACTGCTACAAGCAGTTTGGTTCCTAATGCTCCATTTTTCACCCCCGAGCAGTTTAATTCTCTCCCCCTAGAGTGCCAGATTCATTTTGCAGATGGGAAATACAAACCATTTTTCATGTCTAAGCAGCAGTTTACTTTAAGCTATTAGATATCTGTACGGACACACCCTCTCAGAAGGATATGAGGAGCAACTGCAGCACCCTTCTCAAACAAAGATACGTTTTTAAGTGGCTTTCCAAGTAAAGGCTACCGTAAAGTAGGAAGGGCATCATCTTAGCCAAGGGTAAGGGGTATTTACGTAAAGCAGAAAGCAAGTTTCCTTCTCCTCCTGGTGGCAGCTAAGCCTCGGATGTTTCAGCATTCATTTTGTCACGCTACGTTTAAACCAGCCATTTCAGACTCAATCTGGAGCCTGCAGTCTGGAATACTCTGCGAGGCCACATGAAATCTGAATCAGTAATTCAGCAGAGAACCGTAAACACTTTCCAGCAGACTGAAGTCAGATTTCTGCCATAGTCCAGCAACAAACTGCTTTCAACAACTTCCAGGGGGTGAAAAACAATTTTTCTTTCTTTCTTTTTTTTTTTTTAAAAAAAATTAAGCTCGTCCAGTGAGCTTGATAAACTTTTTCTGAGAATTACGAAAACCACCATTTTTAGAATGTCTCCATGTTTTAAAAAGACAATTAGCTTTAGCATTAATTTAAATTTATTTGAAAAAAAAATAGCTATTTTATTGCTCAACAAAAAAAAATGACAATTCATCACATTTACTTTGATTAAAAAAGGACTAAACTTTATTGACAAACTGCGGCAGACATTTTGACAAGTTTTAGCTACCTATTTAGGCAGACTTACACATGTAGCATTTAATCTTCAAGAACAGAGTGGGAGGACAGTGTACAAATCCAATTAGGACTTTATCCTATGTACAAAGTGAAATTTTTCCTCATTTTTTTTTTCAGCTGCAGTGTCCCTTTTTATGCAAAGCTAGTGTTGAGATACACTTGAACAAGTCAATGGGATTGCTAATATTGACAATTTTGTCAGTTTTAAACTTGCACTGTATTATCTGCCCAAGCACTATAAAAAATGAGAAAATTTACAGAGTTCAGACCTACTCATGTAATACTCTGTTTTCTAATATCAAACACTGGGCAATGAGAGCCATGCTTTAATTTGGTTTTCCCTTAAAAGTTCTTCATATAGAACCAAACTAAGAACCCCTTTAAACTGGAAAAATCTGCTTCCCAAGCATCTCTCAACACTGCATGTTCGGGGCTAGATTTCAAAACCCACATAAGAAAAGTCAATTTTACAAACCTAATTTGTTTTTTTTTTTCCTTTTAAGTCAATTACCTTTAAAAAAATGCTATTTAATTTGCTTGAGGATCCTTCATATTAAAATTTAAACTTAAGATTCACCAGCAATCTGCTTTTAAGGAAAGTTTTGACATCTGAGGTTACTTTTAAACGGTGGCAGCTACTACCGTTACATTATGATTTTAATTCTTAAAAACAGCCCTGAATTTTGAAATGTAGCCTACTTTGGGATTCTGCAACTACAACTTTTATGGGTTCCTTAAAACCAAACTTAAAAGGTTAACAAAACCTTAATCTCATAACTGCTAAGCAAAGCATGTCACTTTTGAAACTAACATTTTTAACTCAACTTTTTTTTTTATTAAAAAAGGTACAGTTGTGTTTATCTAAACAACAAAGAAAGAAAAGCCATCTACACACTTAAAAAAAAAATTAAAAGTCGGTCCTCTAAATCTATTTAACTCAGTTTAAAATACTACGTACAGAAGCCAGAATGCAGGGTGAGGATGGAGTGGGAGAAAAAGGGCCACGAAGAAAAACAGTTAGACAATTACTTGTCTGGTGTGGGTAAAGCAACGGGAATCCTGGGAGATACAAGAATCAGTAACAACTGTTTGCTCATAACTGATATTTTTCCCTCATGTTTGTTTTTTAATAACGTCCGTATGGGTGCTCTCTGTAGGCCCCCTTCACTGGCCTGGCCGGCGGGGCCTTCAGGGAGGGCCTGGTTCCATTCCAGTCATCTTGCCCTGCAGAAAAGAGAGGGATAAGTCAAGGATGGAGGAGTGCTGCGAGCCAAGGGGCACACAGGGAGCGTCGGGGCCGGCCGGGCTCCCCTCCGGGGTCGGTGTGGAGGCACGAGGCATCTTCACAGTGGTTTCACCCCAAAACCGGTCTGCAAAATGCCCTGCGGTCCCCCCAAACCTCTTGTTTGCAGCACGTCTTCTGACATTAGGGGAAAAAGGCACTTGCAGGGGATGCCTGGGAAGCCTGCAGCTCCGACAGCCCGGCTAAGCGCCCGACTGGACAAACCCGGAGCCTTTTTAGGAGGAATTCATTTCAGCAGGGCCGAAGCCAGTTCCCAGGGCAGTGCTGGCCGCCAGCCGTGGCCAAGAGCGCAGCAGTCACAGCCCCTCAGGCTGGCAGCCAGCAGCATCTCTAACCCCAGGGTCTGCCTGGGGTTGGGGGGAGGACTGCTACAGGTAGAGCCCTTCCCTCCTTCCCAGACGCCAGGCAAGGCACCTCCTGGATAACTGTGCCAAAATAACTCCTTATGCAGTGCATCCGACTGAGCTCCCATTCACCAGTCTGCTTTCCGACTGTGACTTGCTGTTCCATCCTCCCGCAAACACAGGAAAATTTACAGCTGCGGCTCACGCAGCACCTGCTCGCCCCTCCGGAGCAGAGTCCCTTGCTAGAGCTGTACCAGCACTCGCTGCTGACGGGACAGCACAAACCCTCCTGCTACGTACAGCCACCACCGAGGCGAATGAAGTTTGAGTTCTCGTTGTCCTTGAGCTAGCTCAAGCCCCAAAGAGCCGAGCTCAGCTTTGATTACAGCTCGTGCCTGCAGCATTCACACTTCCACGCTTGCCATTCTCTCCAGGGCCACTGGTATAGGAAAGCAAGTGTCCGAAGGCCGGGAGACAGCCAGGTCTGTTCCTGCCACCATGGAACACGTTCCCATTTTCTCAAAACCGTCTCCAGCCTGGCTCAACAATTTATTTCTCTAATTCTGTTTTCATGAAAGCAGAGACCAAAGGAAATTACTGTGGATAAACAGATTAGCTGTGGCAACTTCATGCCAAGTATACAATGAGAATTTTGGCCTTCATATCCCAGACAACACCACCGCTCTCCTACCAAGTAGGAGGCACAAAAGCCTCTTTGTGCTGCGTGACTAACGCAGGCAACAAACCAAGGCATTGAAGGCAGGAAAGACAGCCAACGTTACTGACAGCAGCTGTCTATTCAAATGCATCTCAGACTGGAAAAGCATCCCTAGGTTATGCACCTGAATTTGAACTTTTCACAACTTAAGCCCAGAGCAGAGAACACCCCGAGGCTGGCAGAAGAGACAGCCACAGTATTAACAACTCTGCTTCCCTAATGCCAGCAGGACACGGCACAGGGGATTCCCAGTTCCTCAGGATCCCAGGAAGCCCCCTCCAACTTGTCATCACCATCACCTGCATGCATCACGCCTTCAGACAACCAATGCTCTGCTAAAGGGGCTGTTTTCAATACAGCATGTTTCCATGCCATTAAGCAGCTCGCCGTAGAGCTTTTGTAACTGTTTATAGCCCAGCCTGCTTGCAGAGAGAAGAAAATTAATCTTAGTCATTGCCACGTGCAGACGCCATTCATAAGCTCAGCTATCTGAACTAGCATTAAAAAAACCCAACACAGTCACCCAATCCTTTACTGCCAGCACCTCAGATAAGGCCTATTGTTCTCAACAGTTGGTGATTTACACAGCTGTGGTTAAATTGGTCCCCCAGTCTAGTTTAACTTGATAGCTTTACGTAATTCAAATCAGCTGAACTTCATAGACAACTTGCAAGTCATATTGACTTGACCAAAGTTAAAGGGAGGCCTTCATATGATATTTAAATCCATTTTCAAGCAAATGTATAGTGCAGAGTCAGTATCAGCTAGCGGGTTTTTGAGGATATCGAAGCAGATGGAACCATGCATTCATCCAGCTCAACAAAATATAATCCGTGAAAACCAGACTGCAGCAAAAGTAGCACTGTGGGTGGAAATCCAGAGCGCTTAATACATTCTAAAGCTACAAGGAAATGAAAAGATATTTCCATAGTTAAAAAATGGAATTTTAAAAGTGTCACCTTTGAGACAATCAAGCTAGATAAGAACTTAAAAACCACTGAATCCCTTGGGTTGTTCAGACCTGGATAATCCGTTGGGTATAAATATTCTACCACGAAAACTACCTGAGGTTCTCCTCAGTGACGTTTTGCTCAGTGTGGAGTGGCACTGGAAAATAGCCGGTCGACCACAAGCAATTCCCAACTACGTGCAACCGCTGCAGGCAATTCCCAACTATGTGCAGCCCCTTCCCTGTCAAGAGAACAGTATTCCCAGACATACCATAAGCTTCATAGGTTTCCTGTGCCTCCCCGTGTCCATAATCATAGTATTCTGTGTCCCTGGAAGAATAATTATTTTGGTTACATACAGCGCTGAAACTGTATCCTTAAACTGACACAACTTGCACAAACACTCCAAAAGCAAAGATGCCCAATATTTCACATGGCTGTGGTGTGTCTGATTGTTGCTTTTACAGAATTGTCAAGGACACTGGGACGCTCCCAAAAGTTATTTCCCATGCACTCCTGGATTCCAGCAGAATAGGGCACTTTCCCTACAGCTCAAACTCCAAAATGAGTGTTTCCGTTTCCTTAAAATAAAAGATCATGCATAATTTTCTCAGTAACAGATAGGAGACAAGCAAACTTACCCTTGGCCCTGGCTGTAGTAGCCTTCATACCCCTCATAGCTCTGGTCTGCATATGCATCATCATAGCCCTGAAATGGATGATGATATAAACGGCATTAATGGAAGGACCAAAGGTTAATGCCCGACCAAGAGGAATGGCAAAACTGAATTCAGGCCACAGCAGCTTTCAGAGGAGCCTGTGAATCCTTGTCTGCCACAGGGAAGGGGCTCACAATCATAAGATTCGCTTGTGTCCTGTGCCTTGGGAGCAGTGAACCACACTGAAACCAGGACACACGCTAATATTTACAATTCAAAGCCATTTACATGTCCAAGGCTGCAGTTTGGCTGTGGTACAAGTCCATGTGCCAGAAACCCTGCAACTGCATTATTTACACCACAGTTTACAGGTAGACAAAACCCAACCTATTAGCTTATCACTGATTTCAGGGGAAAAACTGAGAAGTTTTACCAAGAGGAGAAACGGATTTTTAGATGTATCAGTGTTTGTGATGATTCCCAAAAGTGCTGCTGTGCATCAAAACCAGCTGTCTTGGGGGTTTTTTTGTTTAGGATACCAAGGGCACAGATGCTAAGATAAGCTTGGCAGGAGTGTGGTGCTTAAGTTACACGACTGGAAACATCACCACGTTCATTCACATGTTTACTTTAAGGATTTTGGGGGCATTAAGAAACCTTTGGCATCTCTTGCTCGAAGAATTCTCTTGCACAAAGAGAATGTGATGTGAACTACATCAATCTTTGTGATGGGAGTTTTTTCTACTGATAGTTATGGCAAACTGCAGTCTTGGGAGCACATTTCAGCTTTATAAAAAACACTGTTTACTCTGTGTTTAGGACACTAGCAGCTCCCACTTTGAGGACTAAAGAGGCAGAGCGGGTCACCCAGCACAATACCAGTGCCTGCACTGGTGGTGGCTTCTCCAGAGCGATCTTACTGCTGTTAGCCCTCATTTCAATAGTGTTGAGTATCTAGTACAGGGTCAGATAGCTGGAATTAAAGAAAAAAACCCCAAAGATAAATGGTTTCTTACATATTCCTCATAGGTTTCTGGTGCGGGAGGAGGAGGAAGCGGTATTCTCTGAATGCCAGCTGCACGTGCTCTGGGTGCAGGAGCACCCCGTACTGCTGGGGGAGGAGGTACTCCGCGGGCTACAGCAGCTCCCCTGGCAATGGCACCCCGCACCGGGGCTCCTCGCACGAGGGCCCCCCGAGGAGGAGGAGGAGGGGGAGGACCGACACCACGCCCCCTGGAAAGGAGATAAAAAGGGCTGTGAACAGCTACTGCTGTACTGCTTGTGTGCGGAATACTGAGGGCAGCCCATACGCCTCTTACACCTACTTTAAAACGCAATAGCTTGATAAATAAATACAGTCACCGTTAACTAAGCCATGAATTCTTAATCAGGAATGAAGGCACAAGAATTGTTAACAACACTGTACTGCAGGATTTACAAAAACCTCTTCTGGGATGAGATTCTACTGCATTAGATGTTGTACAAAGAAATAAATCTGATACAGAACCCGGGCCAAGTCATTTCAGAGAGTTCATTGTGAACAACCCTCTATCACTAACCTCTAATGACCATCAGACCTCCAGGACGAGATGAGCAGGGACACTTCTGGGCTAAACACTCAGAAGCAAAGACTTTCCCTCCATGAAATAGGTAGCGAAGCAAGAACTATAGTAACAAGAGTTTTATCACTAATTTATCCCAATGCCTTGACAGCAGTGACAGAAAAATGCCATCCTGTAACATTCAAACAAGGTCAGTTTAAACTGGAAATGCTTAATTCTGCTGAAGGCAACAGAGGCAAACATGACATATCTATCTACACACGATTTCATAGGCCAATTTTTGAAAGGTTACTTTATGAAGTTACTGATTTCAGACATCAGAAATAATACAGAAGACATCCACTGCGCTAGATTGCATCTCGAAACACACAAAGCGTTCCATGTCAGCATGCTAAAAGCATTGAAACACAAGGCTAAAAAACTGCAGCCAAAAGCCAAGGTCAAGGCCAACGGCTGATGCGCAAGAACAAGTAGCTTAACCTCATCTGGCAGGACAACTCTGAGCAAGACGCAGCATTTCTAGGCCCGTGCTTTTGGGGAAAGTACCTTGGAACAGGCGGAGGCGGTGGTGGAGCTGCTCCCCTTCCCCGCACAGGGACTCCTCGGCCACGAGTTGGCTCTGGTACACCGTTCAGATAGGAGAGCTCCAAGAATTGCTCCTGACAGATATCATCCATCATATCCTAAAGAGAGGAAAGAGTCAGCTCCAGAGAACAGCTAACTAGCTGGTCTCTGCTCCAGGATATCACAGGCTACCGTGCTGGAATAAAAATAACCTGATAGTCCTAAATTAAAAGCTGCTGGTTGGTTTTACAGGGATTTGCTCAGCAGGCAGCAGTGTACAACTGCCAGCCTTCTCCAAATGGGCCAAGAAGGACACATCACCTGCACTCTGGGAGCTGCAGTGAGGGCTATGGCTGGTCCCCGGGGTCCCCCTCTCTCCTGGGGGTTCTGGAGGTAGCTGGTGTCCAGCACCCCAGGGATGTCAGCAAGATTTATTTGCAAACGTTGGAGAGTTAGAGGTGAAGTCAAAGACATATCTCACCTCAAGCACGGTACAGCTCCCATTTAAAGGTAAGTGGCAGGCAGTGAGCCCACATAACACAAAATCCTGCTATGATCCTGACATGCTGAAGGAACAGGATAGGATGCAGCCTGACAAAGAGTAAACACCCATTTGCAAATCCAGGCTGTGTTTTCAGATTCTTAGGAACACAGTGTGTGTCTGGCTTCATGCATTTTTATCACCTCAGGGGATCTAGCTTCAGGAATTAGTACAGATCTCTGGTGACCCCACAGAATTCACTGTCCCCCTCCCTCCAACACACAGATAGGCTGGGCCTTGCACCGAGGATCTTAATGATGCCATGGCAACACCAAAGCAAGGACTCTCCTACCAGATGTGTCTTCACAGCACTGCTGGCTTCCATAGTGACTTCTCTGACAATTTTCACAAGTTTAACACATTGTTTGAAGGCAGCGATAAGACACTTTAAATAGCAAGGCTGCATGCTTGCTTTACCAAGCCGAGGTTTTGTACCTCCCAGAGGCTCCTTGAAGATGACCTCTTTCCTCCCAAGACACTTCACACTGCAATCTCTCCTCCTGTGTGTCAGACTCACAGAAATCACACAGTACCCACACGCTTTTCCACGCTTCCCTGTTACCCACCACTCTCAGGTTCCACCCATCCCTGCTATTTCAGGCAGAATATCCGAGCTCCCAGCCTCAGCTGGGAAACATGGTGTCCGAGTATATTCAGCTCTCTACCTGCCAGGACTCTGAATTACAGGCTGAGCTAGCCAGAAGCAGGGAGCACTGCGTGCTGCTTTCCTATTTTGTTGTTCTTTTTCCTAATGCAGCAAGCAACACTGTAATTTTAATAACATGCGAAAGACTCCTTCAGATTCTGCTGTTCTTGGAGTAAATACTCTAGCTGGCACCAAACCAACGTGAAGCTGACCATGAAGGTGTTACAAGGTTCACCAGCAAAAGACGCCCACAAATAGAGAAGTGCCATTCGTATAAATGCCTGATTAGCACAGAGGTTCCTGCACATCATACACATTTAAAGCAACAGAAATACTGATTTAACAGATGTGTCTCTAGCTACAACACCGAATGCTACTGAGCTGCCTGGGCAGTCACCCCTCCTCATCCTCACCCCAGTCCTTTAGGGCAGAGCAAACACCTCCAGCCTTACAGTTTCTGATCTGACCAACCAAGTTTTCTAGCCAGATTTCTACGCTACAGTGCCAAGTCAGAGGAACCCAACCAAGAATCTCTTCCACGCCAGGCATGGCTAAACTTACTCTCCCACTAAAAGTGACACATGGAGCTAGACAAGCTATCCACCCACCCCGGGGCCCACAGCTAGGGCTAGGAAAGAAATACCTACTGCAGGTGCTCTGTACAGTTGCCCTGCAAGTGTACATCTTTCTAATTATAGTTAGGGGAATACCACATGCCTTCATGCAAGATTAATGGCCTCATCTTAAGCTGCCACATACACACACTTAATACTCCAGGCCTCCTCAACTACACCAATTCCTATGCAAATCTTACTCATCCTTACAGCCAGATTCACAACCCATCTACCTCCTTCAAAAAGGAGAGAACATCAGTGTACGTACTGGAACAAGGAACTTCTTGACTTCTTCCATGGCGTGAGCCATCAGAGCATACGCTTCGCAAGGGGGTCCAAAAACTTCAATGAAGACATGCAAATCCATATTTAGATGAGCATATTTGGGATCTCCCCCTTTACGCAGTTCTTCCTCCTGAAACAAAGCAGATTAGAGATTCCTAAAATTAAGTAAGACGCAGAAAAACTACTTTCATCTGGTTTTCTACACCTTAACAGGAAATACCTGTAAAAGCATTTTGGCCACGCCTGGACACAGATCATGGTAATGTACACATAAGAATACAGTTTTATAAAATACCACGCATAATCTACACCTTCCATCTTTTCATAGCTGCCTTTTCACAATGGGTATCTTTGCTAATTCATTGATACCAGCCACTTTTTTTTTTCCCCAGAAGATTAAGTATATGCAAGCAGTGTTGTTGTTCTTCTACACCACCTTTCTGCCAGAGGTGCTCTTCACCACCCAGTGAAGTCTAATGCCTCAAACAAGTTCGTTCTTTAACTCTGCTCTTAGATACCTGTGTTACTCAGATGAGTTTAAGAAGCTACAAATAAGCTAGAATAAATGCTGCTAAAATAAAACGCTGAGTTAGGTTACAGCTCTGTTGATTGTTAGCTCAGTCTTGGGAGTAAGAAGGAAGAAGAAAAAAAATAAATTTGTTTTTTCTTCTCAAAAAAACCCTCCTAGCAGTTTGTGATTCATGAAGATTACCAGGAACATAGTGCTCCAACATCTTCACTGAACCATGAGAATTTAAGGATTTCAGAGGGAATGACTGGGAAAAGGATTTTTTTTTTCTGGAGGGGAAACCTATTCCTTTAGCAAATAACTCTTCACATAGTAGGTGGAATTAATTCTTATTTTATAAACTCTGTACTTCACCTTTCATATCAACTATCTCTGCATCCAAGGGTACAGGATATCAAAAGGTGACTCGATCTCTGAGACATGCTCATAAAGAAAACATGCATCACACTTCAGCTCCCTCATAATTGCTCCCAACATGCACAGAACAATTTAGGAAGAGTGACTTCCTACTGCCATTGCTTTTGGATTTTAATATTTTATAAAATGCTCCAAGAACCACTACTTCTCATAGCAATATGAAAGGCATTAACATATGTTTTCAAGGGTGATGCCCTCACCTTTGCTTTATCTCGCATTGAACCCTTCCCAAGCACAGATATCTTAGCACCAGTTTCTTCCTGAAGTCTCTTGATGGTGTTGCCTTGAGGTCCCAAAATCTTTCCAACAAAGTTGAACTGTAAATGAAGAAAAAAAAAATAATTAAAAAAAATTAGCTCCAGAGCTCAGTAGCCTTAAGAAAAGCTTTTCTCAATGTTATGCTGGCTGACAAAAAATTTAGCCGCTCCGTTTTCTCTTCACCTCACCCCAAAAAATACAGACCAAAAAATGCACAGGAAAATTTAAGTTCCAGAACATTCTTTTCCTGAAAAAAATGCTCCACCAGAAAATCAAGCTAAAGTAACTGACATAAAGCATTTAATTCTAACATCTACTCTCCAGAAGTTTTACAGGCAGCAAGACTGAAGAGTTAAATGAGTTCTTAACTGCAAAACACAAAGCTCTACATGTGAAAGTGTCTATTCTAGTAATAAAAGATCACAACTATGCATCACCATTTAGCTTTATCCCAAGACATTCTAGAAATGTCATGTATTAGAAATAAGATCCTGCAAGCTTGCATAGGAAAAAATTCGGTAGCGATAGTGGAACACCGGCATAACTCTTGGTGACACTTTGACAGCTACTATCTCTAAAAGTCAGCCGTAAAATCCACAGAAAATAAGCAAATCACAGAGATTCAGTAAGCTATTTTCTGGCCCTCACCTTGGGGTACTGTTTGACAGGTATCAGAACTCGTTCTTTCAGTTTCATATTCTTGTGGGAAAATAAATCCAGGTAGTTCTCTTCCTCATCCTTCTTTGTTGTTTCACCCTTCTGAATTTTTTCAATTTCTAAACAAGATAAAAATAGGGCTGCTTATATTCCTCAAACAAGAATCATTTTTAGAGTTGGAATTATGAGAGGACATACCACCCTCCTTCTCTGTGAATATATGAACAGTTATAATTGCATTAATGGAATCTGGATAGACAGGCCACCTCTTTAGTGCTAGCCCAGCCTTGCCCCTTCCTCCCTTCACATCTAGGGATTCCAGAAGGCCAAAACCAGGGTAATGAACAACAACAACAAAAGGACAAACCAGCAGAGAATGCCCTACAAATAACTTCAACAGATAAAAGTAGGAAACTGCAGGTACAATTTTGCATATCGCTTCTGCTGTGCCTTCCTCTCCGTCCCAACCTCATGCCTCCACCGAGCGCAGTACCCACGTGTTGACTCCTAAACCTACAAAGAAACCAGCCCCAGCTGCACTGACTGTAATGCAGCAGCCATCAGCAAATCAGGCACGTTTTTATCATTCAAGCCGATGCACTGTTTTAAATCTGTAATTTAATTAGTGGTGCCAACACACTGACACTATGAATTTCAGTTAAGTTAAAAACATTCCTAATAAGCAGAAGCCCGAATGAGTGACACACTAGAGCGTAGTCTGGCTTATGAAATTCTTATAAGCTTCATTTCATTAAATGAACGCATCTTTATCACACAAGCAATTCATAACTTGTTTTTTTTTTAAGTTGTAAGCCTCAGACACATCGCCATAAAAGTGAGCGTCAGAAAGTCCTTAAATTGATTCAGGCAACGCAACTACATATTTTCGTGTCTCAAAATAAGATTCTGATTTTTTAATTGTATATTGGGAATTGCAGAGTCTTGGAAAAACACTGAGGTGGCCTGACTGAGCTGAAGGCATGCCGCAGCCTGAGGGGAATCGGGAACAAAGACCAAATGACCTTCTGGAAGTAGGTCATTAAGGTAGGCCAGTTAGGAACTAGCACACAAACACCTTTTTCAAATCTGACTAGAAATTAAATTTTCACTGAGAGATGGCAGGAGACAGTCATCTCACGAAAGATGACCCAAATGGAGCAGACTGAAGATCATCATCAAGGCAGGCATTCCTAGCATAGGTTCTTACAACCATTAATGCACAAGAAAAACACCCAACATTTTTCAGAAGAATGTAGCCCATAGCTGAATGACTTTTCTTTTCCAGAGATGCCCAGTCATGTACAATTTTTATTTAATGGCCAACAACTAGACCAAGTTCCCTCAAATTTGGAGCCAATCCATTATTTACAGTCCCAAATTATTGATGAACCATTATGCACTCTTTGGTCCAACAACAACAACAAAAAATAAATGGGTCACACCGTGCACAGCCATCGCAAATTATTTACAGATGTTTATTAGGGGAGGATCGTGACCCTTCATTAAAAGTTAAGTTGTGCCATTTTACCAGCAAACCCAAGAACTATAAATATCTGAGTCAAAAGCGCTCTAAATACAACTTCTCACATCTCAGGGGAAAGAGACACACTTTCACAAGATTATATGCATAACTGGATTAAAGCTGCAAGACAAAACTGAAACTGAAGACTGCTTAGTCATTACCAGAATTTAAACAGGGCAGCTGTAATATTTTGTGTTTCCTGTAATTTCTGTCTGTGTCAGAAAATATATACTTTAGCCTAAATGTTCATGTTTGTAGTTTTGGAAAACTGGCGTACCAGATACTCAGCATATTATCCACCTAGTAATAGTCTTGTATCATCCAACCAGAAATAGGAACAATGGGTTACCATCATCCTTCTGACTGTGACTGGACAGGCTGCCACAGCCTCATGGGCTGAGAAGCATCTTTCAAACGGTGCAGGCCACGAGGAAGTCAAGCAACCAGATGTGCAACCAAAAAAAAAAAAACCACCCAAACCTAAACACAAAACCAACCTTAAAACATGATCAAATGATCAGTATTTTATTTTTTCAGTTATGGACATGGTAATATAAACTGGGTTTTAGTTTAGAGACCTAAATATAGAACTTGGAGATTGTTTTGCATAATTATGAAAAAAATAAAACCCCAAATTTTGTATTTCTGCTTGCAACAGCACCTTGGCTCCCTTACAAAAGTGTTACCATGACTCCCTAGTTTAAATGAAACTACCGGGTCTAATAGCTTTGAAAAAAGATAGCTTGATTTAAAAAGAAATTATTTTCTGAAGACACTATGCAGAAGTAAAGAACCCAGAAGTTCAAGCGCTGTCAAATTGATAATATAAGCAAAGGACCTGGCTGCCTTGGTTAGTTTTACATAGTTTTTAAATTTTAGCTATAAGAACAGATCAGAGAATCAAGATTTGGAAACTAAAGATTGCATTGGTGACCTTATCCCTGGTTAGGCGTAGCTTTAGACCCTATAATGCAACGTGATTACTTCTCAAGTATTTTCACTCTCCAAAACCAGTAAATGAATTCTGCATGTTAACAAGAAGGGTTTTCTATGCGCACATCAAGAATAAAAGCACTCTAAAACTTTCTTGATGTAAATTAAACTACCCAGAGGCATCTTCTACCTTGTCAAAACACCACGCCATCAGACATCAGCCTCTGCAAACCAGTGAATCACAGTTCACATCAATCACACATCAAAATCCACTCTGCCTCCTCCACCACTAGCAATGACATCTGGGAATTGGTCTGTGAGAGCAACAAATAATTAACCATTTGCTAAGAAAAAGCATTGGATCCACCACCACCACATCTTTAAATGAAACACAACACACAGGAGAAGAAAAAAAAAACAACCAACACAAGAAACCTGCACAGCAGAATAACTTCGAGCTCTGGAGCTTTTGCAATTCAGGTCAGCGTGGGTGACCTAGCAGTCCCCTTCACACCTTCAGAACAAACACCAAGTCTGGAAATAGGCGTGAAGGAGGACTAAAAACATGCCACTTGTGACGCGGGCTACTGCTCCGGATTCCAGCGTTATCTGTATGCATCCTGGCATATTAGCTACGCAACATGAAGCAGTACTGAATGAACTGATGAGTGGTAGCAGTTTGTCAGACCACTTACTGATATGAAGGAGAAGCGTACGTATACCTTGAGGGATTAAGCATGCCTCATTTCAGTGCTGATTTTTTAAAGCCGTGTCAGAGGTGCAGCAGAAGGTTACCTTCTTGCCACGGGGAATGTCAGCAGTCTGGCGGCATGTGTGGCAGTGGTTTCCAGGACTTCATGTGGGGCAGTGATTGCATTGTCTCAGAAGAAATCCTAAGGGGTAGGTAAAGGGGGTTGGTAACACCGCTGCTTCACAAGGAGGAGGCTAAGCAGCCACAGTGCTACTCCTGATCTAAGCCCAAGCTCTTCCTTAACAAAAAAAACCCCCGTATTAAACATTGTCCTGCAGCACACTTGTGCTCTGTAAGCAGAGACACATTCTGTTTATTCATAATACTGAGAGTATTATCTTAACAGTACGATAATACTGACCCCATGCCCAAAAACCAACAAAAAACCCCACCAAAAACCCAAGAGTCTGGGGATGGGAGCCAGAGCCCCCTCTCTCCTACACTACTGCTCCCCAGCTGGTTTGATTTCCCAGGAGAGGAAGCAGGGACCTGCTCCTGGATGGACTCTGCCAAGAGTGGAAGCTGCAGAATTTGGCAAACCTAACCCCACCATTTCCCTCCCGCTTTCTGCTGAAATACCCCCCTCCACCCTCCAGCCTGTATGCTGGGATTTGTATGCAGAGAGCTCTGCTTTGGAGCTTTGCTGAGAAGGAAGGGGACTGCCACTAGCAGAGGGAGAAGGGACATGGGGAAGAAGAGAAACACTGCTCAAGCATGAGGCAGGGAAGAGAAAGCCTGGAGGTGAGCTATGAGAAATGGCACAGGTAGTAGAGGCTCCTGGGAGAGGAGTGGGAGGAGGTAGAGTCACAGCAGTGACAGGCAGGCTAGCATCAGCATCTAATAACGTTGGCATGGCTTAGCAAAATACACATTTAAAAATGCAACAGTGAAACGGTATCAGTGTATCAGAGTCTGTGACATCTGGGCACAGGTTTAAGGCGGCAGTTACAGCTCCTCTGGGGGGTAGGGCGTACACTCGGAAACAGAGAAATTTAGAAAAATCTTCTCCATTTCAGGACAGCCTTAACTGCACGCTAAGCAAGCTTCAGGACATTTTATTGCTCTGGGTTACATACAGTTTCTCACCACCCCTGTGACCTCAGCCCATCTCTAATCCCACTATTTGGTTCCTTGGCAAGTCACTCCAGCGAGGCCACCGCCCGTCCATCTGACTTTTCCCATACGGCTCTTTTTTCCCCTCCTAGGAGTCCACACGGCCTGGGCGAGCCCGGCAGGAGAAGCAGCACGGGCAGCAGGGGATTGTCGAGCAGACCTCTGACACCTCAAGCCACTCCCTGCTCTGCAATGTGTTGCTCTAACTCGTTCCCTCCCTGCGAGCTGCTCTGAATCCACCCCTCAGCTCCCATCTCCATCCCCCCTCACCACTCCACGCTTCTGGGGATGGAAAGGGCTGATTTAACATAAGGACCAAGATGATGCCAGCTATGCAGAGCCTTGCTAGTGGGATGACATAGCTCACAGATCTGTTTGCAGCAGAGGAAGCTCAGAGATGACCAGCTCTTTTCACTTGGGAGTTTCTCCATGAAATGGAGCGAAGATTACCACAAGAATTTGAAAAAAACCCAAAAAATAACTCTATGCCTAGCTAACACATTGGTGGACGTCTCCTGTCTTCCCAAGGCACGCAAGCAGAGAGGACTGTGCCTTTCAAAACAGCAGCATCTCCTCCCGCCCTCCCCGCAGCAGATGGAGGGCATAAATCAAAGCGATGAAAAAGGGTTTTCTTGTTCCTATGGAAGAGGAAGGTCACACAGATCCCGAATCACAGCAGTGAGGAAACGTGGATCATATTCCAAGGTGCAAGAAATCCCAGTTTTCAGTTTCTGTTCAGGGTGCTGTGTAACAGAACCCCAAAATCTAGCCAACTTTACTGCCTTTTCATCACACAATACATTGTTCGAGAATCAGTATTACATCACTGTGTTGCCCTTCATCTTGCTCCTAAATAATGCTAATTTTATCTAGAAATCCTAAGCAGCTTTAGAACCACAGAAGTATTTTAGATTACTTTTACATATTGTTTTTAAAGAAGTCTTAGTTTCAATGCAGAACTCCTGCAGGATTCCCTCCCAGAGGCGGGCAGGACAAGCAACTTCCACTCCTGAAAAAAGGCTGGAATAAGAATACTGCTGACATTCAACAATAAGTCATTTCTTTGTCTGGAAGTCATTTTGCTTAAGTTGTGCCGGCCGTATGCATTACAATCTTTGGCCCAGACCTAAATGCCAAAGTAAGCTTTACAGCAGCTTCTCCAACATGACATCCCCAAAGGGTGCCACAGCAGTAGAGAAATTCTGAGCAATCCAGACCAGCTTGGGGTCATCTCTGCAAAAAGATTTAGTTGCATAAAACCATCGTTTCACATCAGATTCTTCCCCATGAGCTTCCTGCTCGGATTGTCCTGAATCTGGACTGCTAGCGAACACTCCCAAAAGGCAGCAATTTTCAAAATATCCATCCCAAGCAAGCAGGAAGCATCTGGAGCTCTTTCAGTGATCAATTTTAAGTTTCAGAAAGCTGCAGCCTGCTATCAGCAATTTTTAAATTAATGAAAAAAACCTCGTAAATCCTTGTTACACCACTCAGTGAACGAAGCTTTACTAAGTAGGCTGAGAACACTGTTCTTTGTGCGGGAATTAGCAAACTCCTTAGGTTTTCATTTCACTGGAAGGCATTATCACTGAGCTCTCGAGCATCAGCTGGCTAAAGAGTTTTATTAACGAAAAACATTAAATTGACAGCAAATCGGATTATAAAACTAATTTATTTAGATCAAGATGTCCGCGAGTGATGCCAAGTTACCCATGACGATATTCTTCAGCTACTTGCACAATGGGAAGACAGCAATTCCTAAGAATTATTTCCTACATTAAAGGGGGAGCTAATAAAATCTCTAACACTGCACCGACTATGGCAATACTATATGTTTTAAAGACCTTAAAAAAAAAATCATTTAAAAGCAGAATAAGTATCAGAGCTGAGCACTCTGCTCATCTGCAGATTAAATGTGAGTATATCCTTGCGCCGGGTACCTCCCAGCTCGCCACTACACGCACATAAAGCAGTAAGTGGTAGGAAATATTTTCACTCCTTCCAATTTTGAAGCTGACTACAGTGTCTTGAGGCAGCTGAATCTACTTGATAGAAGCACCGAAGGCGGGTGCAGCAGCTGCACTGTGGAGATACGGAGAAATCAGAGCCGGCAGGCGATTGGACAGTGGTGATGGGGAAGGAGAAGGCTAGTCTGGGCACAGAACAAAGACTGCCATTTCCATTCCCTATTTAGGTTCATCAGAAGCATGAAACAAGCTCTAATACAGATTACCAGAGTGGAAAATCAAAGAGATCACAAACCATGCCTCACAGGGACTCAAGCAGACGCTACATGGAAAACCCCAGTTTTGACCGTTCTCTTCGGTCCCCTCTCTCCCCAGGGATGAAAAGGGCCAAGATGACCGCACGTCATTTTAAAAAGAAAGTTCTGGGTCTGCGTTTAACCCGGCCCAGGCCCTAGATTTAAGCACGGGGCTAAACAGAGATTAAATAAAAGAGAAATATCTAATCTTCAAAACCCCGGGGTCGCATCTCGCACCGGGCAGGGGAACCAGGACGGGTCGGTATAACGGCCGCCTCTCGCCGCTTCATCCGGGCCGGCCAGGAGCTGCC